TGTGTTGTCCCCTCCTGTCCCTTCAGCTTGGCCAGGGCTGTATAGTCCTCACTGGTCCTCTCCCAGCACAGAGCTCCCCGCTATGGCTGGCCACCCCTAGGGGTCCCAGGACGGGTAAGAGCCATGGAGGAGAGCAGCTCCAGCAAGCCCCTTACCCCATTCAGCATTCAGGACATACTCAGCAAGCCTTCTGTCAGGAGGACCCCAACACAACCCAGACTGCGAGCTAGGGGGGCCCAAACAGGGGGGGTCCCCCAATCCTCCCCTCTCTATGCACTGGAGGAGCTGGCCAGCAAAACCTTTCAGGGGCTGGAACTGTCCTTACTGCAGCCTGCGGGAGGTAGGTAGCTGCCCAATACCCCACCATTATCGATATTACCCCACCATTATCGATATTACCCCAACATTACCCCACCATTACCGATATTACCCCAACATTACCCCATCATTACCCCATCATTACCCCACCATTACCGATATTACCCCATCATTACCCCATCATTACCGATATTACCCCACCATTACCGATATTACCCCACCATTACCGATTATACCCCACCATTACCAATATTACCCCACCATTACCCCATCATTACCGATATTACCCCACCATTACCGATATTACCCCACCATTACCGATTATACCCCACCATTACCGATATTACCCCACCATTACCGCTATTACCCCAAATTACTGACACAATCCCTGTATTGTTGTTATTACTCATTGTTACCCCTTTTACCCCATTATTATTATTACTCATAGTGCCATTATTACTATACCCTCATTACCCTTACCATCCTATTACTTCTACCCTAACACTTATACCACCCATTCCCCTTAACCACTATTACCCCTACCTCTTATTATCATACCCCGAAACTCCCTATTACCCCATTCAGAATTATTATATTTTATAAGTAACCGATTATATGAAAATATATCATTAGATTTTATAGGTAGTATGTGTAACATATTACATGATAAATTATATAATTATTCCATGATATAGTATAATATAGCGCTAAGCTGGTATATTAACCCTTCCCTCCCTGTATATACACCTCTCACAATTAATTATTCTATGATATAGTATAATATAGCGCTAAGCTGGTATATTAACCCTTCCCTCCCTGTATATACACCTCTCACAATTAATTATTCCATGATATAGTATAATATAGCGCTAAGCTGGTATATTAACCCTTCCCTCCCTGTATATACACCTCTCACAATTAATTATTCCATGATATAGTATAATATAGCGCTAAGCTGGTATATTAACCCTTCCCTCCCTGTATATACACCTCTCACAATTAATTATTACATGATATAGTATAATATAGCGCTAAGCTGGTATATTAACCCTTCCCTCCCTGTATATACACCTCTCACAATTAATTATTACATGATATAGTGTAATCTGCGCTAAACTGGTATATTAACCCTTCCCTCCCTGTATATACACCTCTCACAATTAATTATTCCATGATATAGTATAATATAGCGCTAAGCTGGTATATTAACCCTTCCCTCCCTGTATATACACCTCTCACAATTAATTATTCCATG